GATGTAATGAATTTATGAAGTTGAAAAATCAGATATTTGTATAAGATTTTAATTATGATAAGAAACACTTAGTTTATGCATAGTCATACACTGTGTAGGCTAAATGAGTGGATAATACAGTGGTAATATATAGAAGTCTCATGCAGCAGCCAGAAACTTATTAGCTGTTGCTGTCTGAAGGAAGGACATTGTATGATATTTCCTCTTTTCATGTAAATGGTTTTATGCCTAATACTAGGTTTAAATTAAGTTCATTTGCACATAAAATACTGAATGTTATGACAGTAAATTTCATGTTATATATAGTTATCTCCATATTGGACATGCAAAAGCTGCTCTTCTTAATCAGTATTATCAAGAAGCATTCAAGGGTAAGCTGATTATGAGATTTGATGACACAAACCCTGCCAAAGAAAAAGAGGATTTTGAGAAGGTCAGTAAAAGTAAATGTTATTTAAATTTTCATTTTGGATGTTAGTCACTCTTGATAATTTTATGTGATATCAGAGGAATTGTTTCAGTACTAATCTCTGTATATTCTTACCATTTCTTATTGTCTGTATAAAATCTTGTCCCCTCTTCCATTTTGTCTTGTTTTTTCATCTCTAGTCTGAAAGTAAACTATACATTTTTCCTCTTCTCATGACAGCTATTTATGAAGTGCCATGGAGATCAATAACAGGAAGGATGCATGATGTCTTTTCATTTTTAGAACACTGTTTAAGAAAATACCAGTGAAAGTATTCTTTCTCTCTTATAGTAACCATTTTATTTATTTACTTAATGTATTTATCTAGTCAATGTGTTTATATAGTTAATGAGGATACATATTCATAATTTTGTCACAAATAAACAGATTCATTATTTCAATACAATTTATTTGAAGAGAATTAATAGTCAATGAATGGGCACTTTGGTTTTTGCATAAGTGTATGGTTACCATATTCAGGGTGATTAGGCTGTAATAGTAACCATTTGGAGCAGAGACTGATTTTTGCTTGACAACAGATTGCAACATTTGTAGTTCATGTATTTCTTCATAGGTGACAGTAGCTGATGGTTGTATAGAAAGCTGTTTGTTAGATATCATGATAAAGAGAATGAATGTTGTAACATTTATACAAAATCTGCCGAATAGATTTCATCTTCAAGTTTCTTTTTACAGAATACAGAGAGATTGTCAGAAGTTCTGAGAAACATAAGAGTACAGTGGTGAAGTCTTAAATAAACCTTCTACAGCAATTATGAAATATGTTTTATATTAATGATACAAAGTCCCGCGCCGTAGCCGCGCGGTCTGAGGCATCATCCTTCGGACCGGCGATACAGAATGCGCGCTGGTTCGAGTCTCAGGGGAGAAGAAATTTTCTCATGAGTTTTCGACCAGTGTATGGGACCGGTGCCAACCCAGCATTGTGAGGAAATTGGGGAGCTACAATAAGTAGCGTAATCTGGTCAGGAAAGCTAGCAATGGCTGGGGGTTTGTCATGCTGACCACACATCATCCTATATCTGGTTGGATGATCGTTCACCTCTGCTTAGGCATGTGAACGTGAGGCCAGCAGTCAAGCTAGTCGGCTTTGGCTCTCTGGAGCTGTTACCCCACAGATTTAATTTAATTTAATTTAATTAATGATACAAATCATGCAGAATACAGACTTGATGATATTATTGGCCCACTTTTTAAATAAATTGGTGTTAACAAGTGATCTGAACTAGAAATTCAGTCTCATTTTTAGTTTACCAGATATCCTAATAGTTTGTGATACATGCTACCATGCAACCAAACTTCTAAAATCTCAAATAATATGATATAGGTGATCCTGGAGGACCTACAGTTGCTTCAGATTAAGCCTGATAGATTCACACATACGTCTGATTACTTTGATCTGCTACTAGAGTACTGTGAAAAGTTGATGAGGGAAGAGAAAACATATGTTGATGATACAGAGCCTGAACAGATGAAACAAGAGAGAGAACTGAGAGTAGAGTCAAGAAACAGATATAACTGTGAGTAACAGGAAAGTTTCTGTGTATGACAGTTTGCAAGAACTTTTATTCCAGTCTCATCCTTTTTTTAGTATAAAAATATCATGAATCTCAGTAATTTATGTTGTAAAGTAATTTATTGGACTGATTAAACAGATTTAATTTTGAGGTTTAGTAATCTATCTTGCTTCATACACATGCTAGTACATGAAAACAGTTGCTTTTTTCCGTATCTTTTCTTTTTAATCATTAATAATCAACTTTACATTTTATTCAATGCTAAATAACATTTGAAGCTGATACAGCATCATTGTATAATGTGTATCTTAATCCTGTCTTTATTTTGCAAGACAGTGAATTTTACTTTACTTTTTGTCTTGAATAGCTGTAGAGAAAAATTTCAAAATGTGGGAGGAAATGAAAAGAGGCACAGAGTATGGTCAAAAGTGTTGCGTCCGTGCAAAGATTGACATGAAATCAGCCAACGGGTGTTTACGTGATCCAACCATATACAGGTGCAAGAACGAACCACATCCGAAGACTGGTACTAGTTACAAGTAGGTCATGTGTTTCTGTTTAAGGAACTCTTAATTGTTGGAAAATATGTATGGATATAATATAACCCTTAACCATTTTTGCATATTGTATTGTGCAGGAAAAGGGTATTTAAACTCCTGAAGTATGCAGTTGCTGGCTGGATTTTAACTCAGGGGTTAATGGTTTAACAGTATGCTACTGCAACACACAACAAACTGGACCATTCATTGCCCTAGTGCACAGTTGATAATGGTTAATTGTAAAATGTTTTATGCCAACTTATGTTTAGCTACAGCAGTTAAGGATCTAAAGAATGAATTGGCCAAAATGAATTAAAAACATAACATAGAAGATGAGAGTTCAAGTGGAGCAGTCGTTAAATTTTATTTAATTTCTTTCATAGGGTATATCCTACATACGATTTCGCATGTCCAATAGTGGACAGTGTTGAAGGTGTAACACACTGCTTGAGAACTACAGAGTACCATGACAGAGATGATCAGTTCTATTGGTTCATTGATACACTTGGTTTACGAAAGCCATATATATGGGAGTATAGTCGTCTGAACATGATGAATACTGTGTTGTCAAAACGTAAGCTCACCTGGTTTGTTGAAGAGGGTCTTGTAGATGGATGGTAAGTATAATGAACATTGTTGTGCTTCGACTGACTTGCATGAGAAATAATGATCAATAAAGTGATATGTGTATTTATCCTTAAATTTATAACTAGTTTTCTGGTTTTTAGCCTATAGTAGGTTTATTATGTTACCATACTGTCTGTGTTTTACGTTTCAACTTTTTAACCAGTTGAATGATTTTTACGAAACAGGTTCTAAATGTTATATCAGTGGATGCCATCCTAACCTTGTACATTTTATTTTCCTACAATTATTAATAAGTGTTGTGTATGTATTAGGTGAGAGCAACTTAATATTTTGACCTGAAGTAATGTATGGCAATCAATCTTTCCAGGGATGACCCTCGTTTCCCAACTGTACGAGGAGTTGTACGACGTGGCATGACAATTGATGGTTTAAAGCAATTTATCATTGCTCAGGGCTCATCTCGATCTGTTGTTATGATGGAGTGGGACAAGATCTGGGCATTCAACAAGAAGGTGTGTAGTGCCTTGTGTTTTTGTTCTGTATAGACTGGATCACAAAAATACAGTTTGTTTCACTTTGTAGGCCAGTAGAAGATGTGTATCATTTTACAGAACAAGTACTGGAACATTTTAAATCATGTGAAGTGAAGTAAAAGTAAACTGTCCCACTACACACCTTGTTAGCATTTGGGGGGAGGGGATATAGCTCCTTCTCATTCTTAACCTCAGCACTAAATGGGGGTGATAAGCAGCATCATGCCCTGTGAAGTCAATCGATAAACAAAGCTACAGCAGGAAAATGTGATGATGAAGATCATGGTTACAGATGAACTTTAGGCTTGAGCTTGCATCTCATTCACGAGCATGAATGTTTGTTGTTTCAGGTGATAGACCCCGTTGCTCCCCGTTACACTGCTCTGGAAGCAGAAGTTACTGTTCCGGTACTTGTAAATGGAGCCAATCTGGAAACTCTGACTGTAGAAAAGCATCCTAAAAATTATGACATTGGCACTAAAACTGTCTGGGTTGGTCCAAGAATTCTCATAGATGGTGTTGATGCAGAAATATTGAAGGAAGGAGAAAATACTACCTTCATTAACTGGGGGAACCTATTGATCAAGAAGATTAATCGGTAAGAATTTGTCCCTTTATCTTGGTATATTTTCTTTAGATGGCACACTGCCTAGCCTGGCAGTGTATTTATATGACTACAAGACAACTTCCTGAAATCATAGGATGAGATTTCCACCCTTCAACCATGCCTGTAAGTCAGGTATTCTGTGGGTAACCTTATCACTCCTTTCTTAATAAATGTTATTGTTGTTTCCCTATGCTGTATTATTTTAATTCATTTCATCACAACCTGAGGAAACCCTGATGTCCTTGGATTAACTCTTACTATCCTTAAAACTTCCATCTGAATCTTGTGTTTCTGAAAGGATTCTAAATACCTTCACATAAATGGAATTGTTTATGAATCATAGATACCATGTTGCAAGAAACAGATTGATAAACAGGTGGTAGGAACAAGTGCTTAGTATAATACACTCCAACAAATTGTGAAGTCTCAGAATTTAAATTGTTCCTCATAGATGGCAGAAGCTTTTGGTTAGGGAAAATGTGTAGCAAATAAATCCAACTAGTCTACTCAACAGCATGGAAAAGTAACCACTAATACAAAATTCAGTATACACTGTCACTTTTGTAATTTTAAATCCCTGTATATGTACTTGCTAGAAGCCTTAGGGAGTCTTGAAATAGTAGGATGATCTTTGAAGAATATGAATTAAGAAGGAAGTTTGCATAAGAATATTGTCAATTTGGCTTCTCATCTGTGGTGCCTAAATATCATCAAGAGACCCCTGCCAATGAGGATAGGTTTGGAAGGATGGTTATAAGTGGCACCCATCCTGATTGTTTCAAGTATTTTTAATGTTTTCAAAAGTGTTCCTATGAGAAATATACATACATTCCCCATAAGTTATTGGTTGCTTATAGTTGCAGTAGTTTTTACAAGCATTATTTAAGAATATCACAGCATGAAATGCATGTACACCACAGTAGTTATTGGATTACTCTTTTATTGGCAAATTTCTGTGTATGAAGTATGATAATAATCTGATGTATGTATATTTTTATTCATTATAACATGAACTATCTAGGTAAATGTTTGTTTAATTGAAATTGTGTTGTATAAACTATTAAGTTTCTAAGGAAGGCCATGCTGTAAAGTGAAAGCTTTATCAAGAATAATTGTGTCAGGTACATATGAATTGTGGTATATTTATGTTGTTTCAGGGAGAATGGAAAAATTGTGTCAGTTGAAGCTGAACCCAACTTATCAGATAAAGACTACAAGAAGACAGTAAAATTAACTTGGTTGGCTGAGACAGACAGAGCGCCTTTTGTACCTTGTATATGTGTCTATTTTGACCATATAATTAGCAAATCTGTG